AATTGAAAACCTATTTGAAAAAATAATGACAGAAAACTTCCCCTACCTGGGGAAAGAAATAGACTTACAAGTCCAGGAAGCACAGAGGGTCCCAAAGAAGAGGAACCCAAAGAGGCCCACAGCAAGACACATCATAATTAAAATGCCAAAGGTTAAAGACAAAGAGAGAATCTTAAAAGCAGCAAGAGAAAAGCAGTTAGTTACCTACAAGGGAGCACCCATACGGCTGTCAGCTGATTTCTCAACAGAAACCTGCAGGCCAGAAGGGAGTGGCAAGAAATATTCAAAGTGATAAAAAACATGGAACTACAACCAAGATTGCTCTACCCAGCAAAGTTATCAACTAGAATTGAAGGTCAGATAAAGAGCTTCGCACAGATAAGATAAAGCTAAAGGAGTTCATCACCACCAGACCAGCACTACAGGAAAAGTTGAAGGGTCTTCTTTAAGAAGAAGCTAACGAACAAAAGAATCTGACAAACTAAATAGACCCAGAGACACTGACTGATGCAGGCAATAGACGATCATATTTCAGAGGAAAGAGGGAAGGGGGTGGAGGGTGGGAAGAGATTAACCAAAGAAGTTATATGTATAACCCATGGACACAGTCAATAATGAGGTGAAGGCCTGAGGAGGGGGTGGGAGCAAAATGAAGGGGGTCAATTGGGGGGGGAAAATGGGACACATGTAATACTCTCAACAATAAAGATAAATTAAAAAAGAAAGAAAAAGGAAAAAAGAAAGTGAATTGAGAAAGGAACAGAATAAACCACATTTCCATCCCTGGATTTAAGACTCTGAGTCAAGATACCCTCAAAAGACTCAGGATAAGTAAATTAGAATCTCTTTCTGACCCTATAATTGAAGACTCCTCCGGACAAAAAGAGATACAAACCTTTTAAAAACTGTCATATTTTATCTTTTTTGTTCTCCTCCCCCCCACTTGTAGGGTTGTTTACTTTAAATATATAAAGCTCCCTGAAGGAACTTACTGAATATTTGCTGTTCAAATTTTTAAAAGAGAGATTTTTGTTTAGAAAGATGCCTATGGATTCATCTTGGGCAGGCTCGACAGCCTGAGAGCAAAGGGTATAGATGCCACCACCAGACACCCTGTCTTGAACCTGGGATCTGATCCTTAACCCATGAGCAACTTATTTCTGCATCTCATTTTATTCGTTTATAAATTGGGGGTGATGATAATACTTAGTTTGCAGGGCTCCTGTGAGGAGTAATGAGCTGGTACATATTAAAGTGCTTATATGAGTGGTTGTCCGGAGCCAGCGCCTACGGGCTTAATGCAAGCCAGCTGTGCACATCTCTTCCCAAGTCCTTCCAACAGGAGCTGAAAATCAGTCATGGTGCAAGTATTCACCACAGGGATCAGCAGAGAGCGGCCATAGCCATTCTCCAGCACACTGCTGACTTAAACTTGCCAATATGAACACAACTATCAACAAATCCAGAATGAGAAATCTCTAAGACAATGGCAAGTACTCTTCCAAAAAATCTGATACTATGAAAAACGAAATCTATTCTAGATTCAAACAGACTAGAGACAGAATAGCCAAATGCAGTGTATAAAAATTGATTAGATCTTTCATTTAAAAATTTGAGGGAGGTAATTCAATATATTCTTAAATTAATATTATTTTTTCTTAGGTGTGATAATGGTGTTAAGATTATATAGCAGAACCTCCTTATTTTTAGAAAATGTAAGTTTAAGTATTTAGGGGTGAAGTGTTATGTCTAAAACTTACTTTCAAGTATTTCAGGAGACAAAGTGCATGAGAGACAGAAAACAAACACAGCAAAATGCTAACACTTGATACATCTAGGTGAAGGGTACAGAGGCATTCATTCCCATAAATTTAAATTTTTAAAAAATAAAAATTAGGGAGTAAACAAAACAACTCACCCACACTCGTCCAACTCTGAAAATGTTAAGCCTTTATATAAGAAAAGTAAAACAAGTCCAAGGTGGAATTTCAAAAGAATGACTCTAGTAAACATCCTTAGCAACAAAGTGTTAGTACAGTAACAATAAAGTATATTTAGTCTCTCAACAAAGACCAAAATGAGCTTACATTTCAGTGGATTAAATATAAAATCAAACACACATACCCAATTGTTCTACGGCAGGTCACAAGCAGTAATCCTGGCTTTTCTTTTTTTATGGAAAGATTTTTTCTGGTCTATTTCTAATAGCAAAAAGTCAGATTACGTTTTTATTGTAAACTCACTCTAGAAAATCCAGCCATTCAGCACTGCAGTCCAGGACCAGCTGCTCCCGGAGCTGACTCAGATGTCTGTAACTTTCTACAATGAAAGGAGAGTGGAAGCGGCTCACAGCTTTTGTGCTAGAAGAGGGGGAACATAAACAGGAAATCAAGGTTACTAAGAAGCCAGTAATGCCATCTCTTCACAAAACTAAAGAAGATATTTATTATTCTCTGATGAACCTTGAACGTAAATAGCTGTAAAAAGAGAACATTCTTTAATTATGGCCCTGAACTTTATTTATTTTATTTTAAATATATCTTTATTGATTTCAGAGAGAGGAAAAGAGAGGGAGAGAGAGATGGAAACATCAATGATGAGAGAGTCATTGATCGGCTGCTTAGCCCGCAACCCGGGTATGTGCCCTGACCAGGAATCGAACCCCGATCACCTGGATCCTAGGTCGATGCTCGACCACTGAGCCACGCCCGCCCAGGCTGAACGTTTTTTTAAAAAAAGATGTTTTTATTGATTTCAGAGAGAGGAAGGGAGAGGGAGAGAGAGGTAGAATCATCAATGATGAGAGAATCACTGATTAGCTGCCTCCTGAACACTCCCTACTGGGTGGGGATCAAGCCCACAATCTGGGCATGTGCCCAGACTGGGAATCGAATGGTGACCTCCTGGTTCATAGGTTGATGCTCAGTGGCTTAGCCATGCTGACAGGGGTGGCCCTGAACTTTTTTGATTCCAAAGATTTTGTTGTAAATAAAATACTTGGAGTTCACAGGACTTTGTTCAGGCAGCTTTTAAAATGCATTTCAAATTATATCCATATATGGCAAAATGAAAATTTAGAATTTTCATTTCATATGCAGAAAGCCTTTTCTTTAAATTATACTAAATGAAAATGCTTGCTTTAAGGAAAAAAAGATCAGAAGCAAACATGGCAAAATAAGTGCTGACAAAGCTGGGAGGTGGATATGTTGGTGAAGCCCATACTATATATTCTATACTTTTCTGTATCATTAAAGCATTTCAGTGAAAGACGGAAAAATACAAAGCATCACAAAGAATAGTGACACATTAAATCAGGAGGCAAAGAGGAGCTTTGTCGATCTCACTGTAGATTCCCGGGACCGGGCATGGAAAGGAACGCCCTGTGCCCTTCCTCTGGGCTTGTGCACAATCTCTGATTCTTCATCAAGAAGCTGCAGTGCACACCGGGGAGGCCGTGGGTCCCCAGTTGGAGAGTCTGGCCAAGGCCCCAACTCTGCCACTTACTTGCTAGCTATATGACTTTGTAAATATAACTGACCTCTAAACATCACTTTCCTTGTCTATAAAATGTGCAGAACAGTATCATCACCTCCAGGCACTGTTGAGGATCGAACAGAGAGTGGCTAAGAGTCCCTCTGTCTAATACTCAGGGTTCGGACTCGATCTGTGGTGCTACCGCGGTCGATGTTATTACTATGAGGAGACCTTCAAGAAGAAAAGGTCAGGGTTGAGTGATAAGCAGGTGGGGACAGAGTGCACTCCCATCTCTGTCTGCTCCCCACTCTATCTTTAATGTGGCAAGCGGCTGGACTAGGGGTGACCCTGTCACACTGAAATCTGACCAATGATGTTCTAACGTATCCCTGTCAGGGCTCCAAACAACAGATAAAAATTACAATGAACCTTCCCCAGACCACCTCACTCATTCAACTGACATCACTGAACGTTCAGAAGACGCTGGCACTGATTTGGGCCTGCCTGTTGCTTTTAAATTATGTCACCTAGATTATTATGCAAACATATTTATCATAGCTTTCTCTTCTACCAAACTCATTCAGTGAGACATTTGTTATTGTTCTACATAGACTAACATGATTTTTCGTAATTCCTCTTCATAAAGCATATTTCCGTTCATTAGCTGTAGTACAGGAAAAAAGTAAACAAAGGAAAAATGCCTGCAAAAAGAAAACAGTATCCCCTAAAATCAACAATACTCAAATCTCAATTACAGTTTCTGGTAGCACAGAAAACAAAGAGGCTGGTATTTAGAACTAACAAAACCCGTGATGGTGTCTTCAGCATCCTGTGATAGTGGCAATGGATAACTGTTGTCGTTTTTTATTAAAATAATTAATTACCATTCACACATCATGTCAATATTTTCTTCCATTCTTAACATTTATTACTTCATGCCATCACCAGCTATAGTCAATCTTCTATTATCTAAGGCAAATGTAATGTTTTCATCCCAAATTCATGCAAGCATATTAATAACAGTAGCAATAAATATTCCACAAAGGATGCTGCTCAGAGGGGGATGCACTTCTCTAATACCACTTCTTTAAGTGAGTCCCCTCTTGGGGATTAATGCCTGACCAAGGCGGAGAGGCGGCGTCTTGGGTGGTCCCTTGAGTTCTGTTTTTGATTTATTTTCATCAATTCATGCTATAACTCACAGAAAAGATGTAATGAACTATTATAATATGTGCCATGGAAGGCACCGAGAACAATGAAATGCAGAGCTCCCTGAAGCAGAAAATGAAATTTCAGCTTCGTAAAAGTTCAAGCAACCAAATTTATCTTTCCTCTGATGGTTCCTCAACTTTCTTTCCTCATGTGTTTAAAGTGTACTCTGAGGTATAAAAATAAAACAGTAATTTACAAAACAAGAAAACAAATGTTCACAAATAAAATACCCTTTGGAAAAAATGTTTTAAAATTAATGATAAAAAGAATAAAAAATCAATTTTTCTTTGGTTGAAGTTCCATTAAAAGAAACAGGCAAGGAAAATGCTCGACATCGCTAATCATCAGAGAGATGCAAATTAAAACCACAATGAGGTGTCACTTCACACCTGTCAGAATGGCTCCATCAATAGATCAACAAATGACACGTGGTGGTGAGGGTGTGGGGAAGGGGAACCTAGTGCACTGCTGGTGGGAATGCAGACTGGTGCAGCCACTATGGAAAACAGTGTGGAGGTTCCTCAAAAAATTAGAAATGGAGCTGCCGTTTGACCCAGTGATTCCACTCCTAGGAATGCATCCTAAGAATCCTGAAACACCCATCAGAAAGAATATATGCTCCCCGATGTTCATAGCAGCACAGTTTACAATAGCTAAGATCTGGAAACAGCCCAAGTGCCCATCAGCAGATGAGTGGATAAAAAGCTGTGGGACATTCACACCATGGACACTACGCAGCTGTAAAGAAGAATCTCGTGCCCTTTGGGACAGTATGGATGGGCCTGGAGAATATTATGCTAAGTGAAATAAGCCAGGCAGCGAAAGACAAATATCACATGATCTCGCTTATATGTGCAATCTAAAGAACTTAATAAACTGATGAGCAGAATAGATTCAATGACGTGGAAGCATAGATCAGACTGATGAACGTCAGAGGAATGGAGGAGGGCAGGTGGGTGGAGGCGGAGAGAGTAACCAAAGAATTTATGTGCAAATATGCACAACCCAAGGACATGGACAATGGTGGAGAGAGGGACTGGGGAGGGGGAAGGAACGGGGTGGAACGGGTCATTGGGGAGAAAAAGGGACATCTGTAATATTTTAAACAATAATAAAATGAAAAAACAACAACAGGCAAGAATTGCTTTTATGAAAAGGGTATGGTTATTATCAGTCAGTAGCACAGAGATATACAGATATCATTATAGCTCATGTTAATTTAAAAATATACATTTTTAAACCTACCTTCCAACTTTAATCCAATCAGATGGTATACAAGATACAGCAGAGTTCTTTATTTCAATCATAAACTAAAATAAATATAAATCAAAATTAGATATTTAAATGATTATCCATATTTTAAAGTTTCCTCAAAATTATGCTAAATATTAATTATAAATAGTAAATATTATTCTGAATAGTCAAAACAAATCCAGTACTGTTTTTGGGAGAGTTTATATATGTCCTTACAATCCAATATTATTAATTGGGGTTCCAATACTTGGGATAAAGTACAATCTGTATTGAGCAAAGGAGATCACTGGACACTTTAATGTTGTAGCACTGCATTGTGCATGCCACAAATGGTGGTGTTTTCCATCAATGGCCTATTTCATTTATTAGTACCCACTTATCTCGAGAAATCTGTTACTCAGTAGTAAGACTGAATTTCTAAGTCCATAAAATTTTTAGATGCTCAATTATTAGATGTTATACACACTTTAGATATGGCCTCTCCCCGATTCTGAACAGAAGGGGACTTTACTATAATAGTTTCTATTCAAGGAACCTAACTCCTCCAAAAGTCCTACGAAGAAAGCGCTGACTGTCACGGAAGGTGCTTCCCCTGCGTGCCTCGTGCCTCGCCTGTAGGAGCCTCAGCTCTGTAGGCACAACGCGCTCTGCAGACAGTGCCTCTGAAGCCAGCCAGGAGCAAGCGAGGCTGAGCTCCTCTCCCGCCTTCCGTCTCCAGGGCTCGTAAGGCAGCATCTGGCCCTCCTGCGCACACTGCAGGGCTGTTACAATGAAAGCCAGTATTTTATTCAAATAAAGAAACTTATTTTGTACAGGATGGAACCCAGTGGCACTGTGGCCATCACTAATCTTAAGATGGCTATAGGAATTTTTTTTTTAACACTAATCAGATTTATAACATTTCAGGTATTTATAATATGCTTATTATTAATAGTATCAGCCTGGCTCTTGAGTTTACCTTTCTATTAATAGAAACACTATCTTTTACATTAATTATAATAGGAACTAATAGTTAATTTTAAGAATTTTCATTCTTAGCAAAAATTCTGTAACTAATGACGTCCTCTTGCATAGAGATAAATGAACACTTGAGTCTGCCACACCCAGTTCAACAGAGTGAAGAGTCCAAAGTTCGCTTTGGCTACAAAAATTGAGGAAAATACACAAAATAAATATCATGGGTGGGAGAGATAAAATAACTTTAAAACTAAGCTAAAAAATTTTGCTTAAATATTATTTTTAAATGTATGAGAAAACATATTGGTCTTTTAATAAAATAATTCTGGGAAGAGCTATCTATGCCAAAGGCAAACTGAAAAATTTGGGAACATACTGGATCACTAACAATCGGGAAGGACACATCTAGATCAGAACGGTTGTGACTAGGGGATGGTGGAAATTTTGCAAATAAGCCCAAACTGCTTCAATGAGGCCGTGGGCAGCCAGCGAGGCTGGTTACTTAAGCGCATAATTTGACATACTTTGCCACAACAGCGCTGGATTCAAATGTGTGTCTTATACACCTGACAAACTGCTACTGGTCACAGCCCCCTGGAGTGGCTTATAAATAGTCTGGAGCATACTGTTCGATCTGTAAGTATCAAGGGTCTACGCTAGGGAGCACAGCCCCTCAAGAAGGCCGTGTGCAGAACCTGCAGGGGGCCGAGGGAGCCAGGAGAGCCCATGCGGTTCTGCGTGGCAAGCCCGGGGCCACTTCCTCAGGGGTGCTGATCCTGGGTTTCCTCCTTTTTCCTTCGGTAGTCCCAGGTTTTCAGCCTGGGTTTCTCCTCAGCATTGTGATCAACCAGCAGTTTCCCTCTTCTACATCGTTAGTGGGGGAGGAAAGCCGCCACTGCCTTTTACGAGCATTCTAAGAATGGGCAGAGGGGCCTTTTGTTTAAAGATGGCTCAAGAAAAGAAAATCAACTAAAATTGGAAAATAACATCTATTTCAGAAATCTTGGAAAGTTCTCACAGCAACTCTCCCTGCTCTATAGTCCCTGGCTTTGTTTCTTAGGTGTGATGTGAGAAGCCTGCCTTGATTTTTGCAGCAATCCCTCGTGTGCTTCTTCCGGATCCAGGTCTGTCTCGGTTACGTGTCAGATACTGTGGCTCACTACAGCCTGTGGGATCCCTGGCCGGCATCACTGCTGAGTCTGCTAACGTTCTTAACACCCCAGAAGCTGCTTTGTTTCCCCAACAGCACACTCAAGCCAGTCCTCTCCCCTTTTCTTTCTTATTCTCTTAAGAATGTGCAACTGGTTTTTTTTAAACGTAGGAGATTTAACAGAGAATGCTTTCCACATCTTAAACACCCTAAGCTGGTATTTGGATATGCTGCATCCTGAGAATGCAATTCTTCTAAAGATTTTCTGCCAAATGTCTTTCCCTTTCCTTAAGAATAATACTACTTATCAATACTTCCCCAAATCTAAATATCACCCGTTATCCTTCCATGTTTAATTCAAGGTTAAGAGAGAATTCTCTATACACATAACATGTGACAGAGACCATTGCAGGAGCAGTGAACCAGGTACAGCTATGCAGGCTTTGCTTTCATTATTTCCTTATAAGCTAATACTCTCAGTCAGCGACGAGGCTCAGGATCCTCACGAGTGTATAAAAGCTGGGAACGGGGAAAACCAATGCTGCCTAAAGGAACCCTGGCGTGGCAGTCTGTCTACTTATTGATTTTAAGTGATAACAACAAGATCCGTGTACCGTGTGGGACTGCTATAAACAGGTTTATAAAAACTGTAACAGTTACTGTATAAAAGAAAGCTTCAGAGGGAGGGTATGAAATAGAAGCACGTGGACCTAAGATAAGGGTTTCCTCCCTTCTTCCCTCACGTCTTGGAGGGAATCACATTTGATGAAGTCTGTTCTCAGTCCTTCAAGTATCTCAAAATAATTTGCTAATACCTTTAGTACAAACTTTTAAACAGAATTTGATTATAACAATGCCAAATACTTAGAATTCATTTGGTGTTTAAATAAACAGACTCACTAATTCTAAAAAATGTTGCAAAAATTATTCTGCATTAATTTGTACTATTAAATTTCTAGAGAAGGTTTTAAAAAACCAATGGGACTCCATCCTACTGTTAATAACCAAGAAATTTATTGTCTCAGAGGCATCATCTTAACCTAGTAAAGATTAAGAATGGAGTGGGGCGGATGCGGGGAGGAGGGGATCGATGGGGGGGTGGGGGACATGTGTAACACTGTCAACAATAAAGATAAATTTAAAAGCAGAATAAGAGCATCTATCTCCCTCCCCAGTCATCTGTAATCCAATTACTTCATCTCCGTGTGGGGCTTCTTCTTAAACTTCAATGCTGCGCTGATAAAGAGTAATAATTTAGTATCTTTTACAAATGCCTGGTCGTTTTTACTTAAAAACTGCCAATCAAATCCAGAACTGTCTTCCCAAGACTTAAGCATTATTTTAGTTTGAATAGTACGAGCTCTAAAACGTTTGGATTTTATCAAATAAAATCTATGATGCTGATAATCCCTTATGTTAATATCTATGAGTAGAGTGAAACAATGACATGGTAGAAAGACTGGAGTCAGGCAGAACTGGGATGGAATTGGGCTTCTGACTTGGACAACTTACCTCCTACTCCAGCTTTCTTTCCAGCAAAACTGGAGTAACCCTCCTTATGCTGTGACAGGGATTAAACAGCATGTGCGAAGCACCCAGCACTGTGCTGGACTCTGACAAGGGCCAGATAAAGGGCAACTACATCAGTATTAGTACCATCATCATCATTATATGAGTGACATCTGTGTAGTGCTATATGATTAGAAAGCACATGCATGTATTTAACACGATCGGTCTTCATGGCAGACTCACAACAAAGGTGACCTTCTGCGGTCACACCGCATGCGTGCACAAGAACTGGCACTTAAACTCAGCTTTCCTCACCGCCACACCAGGGAAGCACTTTTCTTTTTCTTTTCTTTTTAAAAAAATATATCTTTATTGATTTCAGAGAGAGGAAGGGAGAGGGAGAGAGAGAGGCAGAAACACCAATGATGAGAGTCATTGATCGGCTGCCTCCTGCATGCCCCCTACTGGGGGTGGAGCCCACAATCCCGGCATGTTCTGGGACCAGGAATTGAACTGCCATCTCTGGATCCTAGGTTGATGCTCAATCACTGAGCCACGCTGGCCGGGCTCTACTATGTCTTTCTTTAAAGTTACTAAGCAGTTTTGATTGTCTCATTTCATTTTTTAAAAATTTAATCCTCACTTGAGGATATTTTTCCATTACTTTTCACAGAGAGTGGAAGGGAGGGAGAGAGAGATCGATATGAGAGAGACATGCAGATTGGCTGTCTCTCGCATACACCCTGACCAGGCTGGGGATCGAGCCTGCAACCAAGGCACGTGCCCTGGGCCAGAATAAAATCTGGGACCCTTCAGTACATGAGCTGACACTCTAACCACTGAGCCAAACTGGCCAGGGCTGGTTATCTCATTTCAATAAAAAGCCAGAATAGTGGCACTAAGGTCACTTGTCACTTTGCAAGGTCATGATTGCATGCTGACACCAAAACATACAATTAAATATTTGGTATCTGGTATTCTGGTATTTGTTCAGGGGAAAAAACCAAAATACAAATACTGTCAAATAGTTTTCCTGTTATGTACAGACAGCTCCATGTGGAATGGCTGTAAAATGTCTGCCTGAGTATAACATCTTAATAATTTTAGTCCAGAAGACAGGCTGACTTTATCAATGGTGTATTCAATGGCATAAGAATAATAAACATTTTAACGATTATAATTTACTATAGCTTATTTCAAATAACCATATAAATAAATCATCTTTTGGCTAAAAGATAAAGCAATGTAAATACCTAAAAACTTGATTTGAAATTAAGCTTTTCACTCCAAGGAAAAAAATCTGTTTTTAAAATCCTACAAACTCGCCCAGCTGAGCGTGGCTCAGTGGTTAAGGGTCAACTTAGGATCCAGGCGATCTGGGTTCGATTCCCGGTCAGGGCACATGCCCGGGTTGCGGGCTGCAGCCGATCAATGACTCTCTCATCATTGATGTTCTATCTCTCTCTGTCCCTCTCCTTTCCTCTCTCTGAAATCAATAAAGATATATTAAAAAAATAAAATAAAAATAAAAATAAATAAATAAAATAAAATAAAATCCTACAAACTATTCACAAATATCTTAATATGCTATTTCAACAAAGCAAAATTTCTCAAATTCCTCCATCAGGATCTTTATCTCTTGTTAAACGTAAGACCTAGAGGAGGCATACCTCAAGAGCCCTAACAGGGCCACAGGGCACAGCCACGCCTAAACGTGTAGTTTATCCTGGTTCTCGTTCGGAATGAGTATCAAACCCTAAACAGAAGTCTATACCAAGACCACATTCTAAACAGGGCCATAATTCCATGGAAGACGCACTAACGTAGGTTTTCACTGTCGTTTTGCTCTTTGTTTTTAGCACCTACACCAACATCAGAAGGAAGCCCTGCCATTGTCCCTGTGTGATCCATCAGCGCTGGTGGTTCACTTGTAGCCTTTCAGCATCTGCAAGCACGTGACCAAACACTAACTTCACTCTCCTGGATTTAGGGTATATGAATTCTGTAAGTTACTATTTACAATAGTCAAAGTTTTCTATAATTTCAACAGATAATATTAAAGCACATATAACATTAAGTTACATGATTTTACCAAGTTTATTTGCTGTAGTAAATAAGCAAACAAAAATACTTATTAAAATAATTATCAAAATAAAGTGCTACAACATATTTCTCAGGAACAAAACAGAAAATCTGAACAAAACAATGTTTTCATCCTATCCTCATATTTTTATTTACATTAAAAAATATATGTCTTTATTGATTTCAGAGAGAAAAAAGGAGAGGGAGAGAGACAGAAACATCAATGATGAGAGAGTCACTGACCGAGCCCACAACCTGGGCGTGTGCCCTGACCGGGAATCGAACCCCGATCTCCTGGATCCTAGGTCGACGCTCAACAGCTGAGCCACGCCAGGCTGGGCTATTTACATTTTTTAAAAGAATAGTTGATTGGTTTTTAGAGAGGGAGGAAGGGAGAAGAGGGAAACATCGATCTGCGAGTGATCCATCGGCTGGCTGCCGCCTGCACGCCCCACGCCCCCCACTGGGGATCGGGCCAGTAGCCGGGCACCTGCCCTGACCGGGAATCCGACCAGCGGCCTTTGGTGCAGAGGATGCTGCCCAGCCCACTGAGCCGCACAGGCCAGGGCTTTATTTACATTTTAAAACACTTCTTTACGGAGGAAAACTAAAGCAGATAGAGGTCTTTTTGACATTACCTCCTGTCCTGATACTGTCACATACTGTGCGGAGGGATTTTTCAGTAGTTTTCTTATGTCTTGCAAATGCATTTGGATCTTGTCCGTCACTCCTTGAATTTCATCCTTCCTCTTTCTTATTAGAGGGAAATCAGAAAGTTCTTTGAATAATTCAGTTTTATCCCCAATTCTAAAAAATAAAAATGCAAATATACACACTGAGGCATATAATGTAGATCAATTATCAATTATTTTTCACAACATCATGAAAATCCAGAGGGTTGGGAGCCCAGAAAACTGGTGCTAAATATTTATGGGTAAGTTTCTTAATTTCTTGGAAGACAGACAAATTTACCCTAACATCATTTTCATTTTGCAAGTTCATGATTCCAATGATAAAACCAAGAGAAAAAATATTCATTGTTCGCCTATTCAGAAGACAAACACAAACACAAATACTGTCAAATGCTCTTTCTTTTACAGAGTTCTTTGTGGGATGAATTGTAAAAGGCCTGCTTATGAAAGGATCACTCTGCTTCTGCAGTTTCTCAATATAAGGCAGATCATGCCTAGATTTCAAGCAAATGAGTGAGTGCAAGATGCCACCTGACCCCCATTTTTGGATGAACAGACTGCTACTACTTGCTCTGTCTGGATTTTAAGTTTCATCATCTGATGCCTGAGCAAGTACTACATCTGTCCTAGATGATGAACTGCCTAGATTTTGGACAGCAAAGTGTTACTTCTGGCTGTAATACAGAGCCTTCAGTATCCAATCACAATTCTAATTTCACATGCAACTTCTTCCACTACTTTCAGTGAAGCTCACGAATCCACACATCAAATGGCAAATGCACTGGGACAAGCAAAGTAACCCTCCACCACTGGAAGAAAGAGCCACGTCTACTTACTGGGCTGCTTGCTCATTAAGGACCTTTAGGTAACGCTCCACTGGACTGAGGAGCTCAGGAATTTCTAAAATAAGTGTCTGGAGCAGGTCTGACTGAACGTGGGAATTAACAGCAGGTATTAATGCTTGAAATTCTGACTTCAGGTGATAAAGGGTTTTGACAATCAAGAAGAATTCTTTGGTAGAACACTGAAAATAGAAATACGTTTTTACCTAAATAGCATATAATACATGAAAATAAAATTTAATGAGTGATCTATTTAAAGTTAAAATAATAATTAAAGAAAAAATTAATTTATTTTATAAACTAGTTAATTGAAATAAAGTCCTGTTGATACCTTCTAAATGTCAAATCAATAGTTGAAACACTTTTTAAAATAATATTTTAAAGCTATAAGGAAAATAATTTGAGACAGGGATAGTAAAGCCAATAGTTGCTCAGTATTTTTTCATTTTCAAATACACTGATCACATAGCAAAAATAAACAATGTCAAAAATATAAAGAACAATTCTGGGGAAACATCTGTAAGACATATGAGTGACAAAGGACAAAGTTCCCCCAAATATAATGAACTCTTACAAATCTTACAAGGAAAAGATAAATAATCCAAAGAATAAACTGAACTGAATCTGCAACTCATGAAATAATGTCCAATAAGCACACGATCGACCTCACATATAATTAGGACGAGCAAATAAAAAAACACAGCAGCATTTTCCACTTATCAGGATGTCAAAAATTTTAAAGCCTGATAATAACCAAGTCACACAAGGTGTAAAAAAAGACACTTTTATATACCATTGGTAGAGAAATAACCTTTCTGAAGGGCAATTTGGCATATCATCATAATAAAAAAGTAGGCATATCTTTTGGCTAAGCAATTATACTTTTAAGAATTTAACTAAAAATACACTATAGCAAGTAGTGAAAATATGTGTATCTGAATATTTATAGTGAATTATTTGTAATAACATTAAAAAGATAAATAAGAAACAAATATCCAGCAACTGAGATATTAGAAAAACTCATACACTGTATGAAACAGTTTTAAAAATTCAGATGTGTGTATATACTGATGTACAAATTGATATGGAACTCCAAAATTTCAATATATATTAAATATACATAGTATGAATATACTATATATATTTGCACAGTAAAATTTCATTTGTGATTCTTTATATGCATTATTCTATAGAAATAAAAGTATAAATAAAACATTTCTGGAAAGGTACACATGTAATTACTCTGGGCAGTAGTTGTGCGGAGGGGGTGGAGGCTTCTCATCCTGTTTCATTCCTGTGAACACTGTTGTAATCTTTTATTTTATTATTATTATTATTTTTTATGGTTTTGAGAGCACTTTTTTTTTTTTTTTTTTTTAAATATATGTTTATTGATTTCAGAGAGAGGAAAGGAGAGGGAGAGAGAGAGATAGAAACATCAATGATGAGAGAGTCATTGATCGAGCCCACAACCCGGGCATGTGCCCTGACCAGGAATCGAACCCCGATCGCCTGGACCCTAGGCCGACGCTCAACCGCTGAGCCATGCCTGGCCAGGCCACTGTTGTAATCTTTTACATGAGCATGACTAACTTTTACATTAGAGCTTCTGAAAAAGAATGGGCTAAACATGTGCATCTAATTTCACCATATCTTGAAACTACAGTCAAAGACATCTTAAAAAGGTCCGACACCGCAAGAATAACTAGGAGAAAAAACAACAGCAACACCATCTTATACTGGGTCTTGGCCTTTTGGCTAAGATCAAATGCGACAACATCTTAGATATTCTAAAGTACGCAGAAGTGGTAAATGACTTGGAAGACTCAAAATACTTTAATCTTAAACTGGCCCTGAGGAAAACTAGGACCCAACTTGAGTTACACCAAGAATCCTAAAATACTCAGGAGCTGGTGGAACAAATTCCCTCTGGAAGTGAAATCTGGGAGGCAGGTGTAGAAAAGGACTGTTTGGAAGGATTTAAGAAGCAATGAAATCCCTCAATCTCCCATTATTCCTGTCCATGTCCCTGAGCAACCACCACTCTCCCACCCTAGAAGACTAGTTTTAGTTTCTGGAGAAGGTAAAACGGGCTATCTTGAACCAGCCTCCGGCACTGTGAAGGATGAGGGTACCACCAAAGCAAGGGATTAAAAGAATGGTTACAAACTGAACACTGAGATTCCCAGTGGTCCCATCTAGCCCCCAGAATCTTGTTTGTTAGTCCAGGGGCTGAAAGGGTCTCTGGGGAATCTCACAAGCCCAAAGGAAAATTTAAAAAATACTATACGAGTTCTCCCAATAAATGGGCCAGCTGGTTGCAAGTCACATTCAACCACAGAGACCTTCCTATAGGCATTTTTGTCTTCTGATCTTAAAAAATTATCAGACCAGATAAAAATTCTAATATGAAATGCAAAGACCAAATCAATCAATCAGTCAATCAATCAATCAATCAATCAATCAATCAACCTGACAGGAATAGAGCCTATACAGACAGAAGAAAACTTCTAAATAGTAGTAGTAATACTAATAATACTAATATCCTCAGTGAAAAAGAATGTTTCAAGCACGGAACAAAAATGGGATGCTATGGGGAGAAAAAGAAACATTAAAAGAATAACAAGAAAACATTCTTAAAAATTAGTAGCCCTGGCCCGTTTGGCTCAGTGGTCAGAGCGTTGTCCCGCAGACTGAAGAGTCCTGGGTTTGGTCCCAGCTGAGGGCACGCACCTCGGGTGCAGACTCGATCCCTGGACTGGCCCCGGCGGTTGGGGCACGTGCGGGAGGCAGCCCATCGATGCTTCTCTCTCTCCCTCTCTTTCCCTTCCACTCTCTCTGAAAAGCAATGGAAAAAATATCCTCGCATGAAGATTAAACAAACAAACAAACAAACAAAACCAAAAACAAAACATTAGTAGAAATGAAAAATTCAACAGGAGAGGTAGGAGATAAAGGTGATGAAATGCCCAAGAAGGTAAAGAGATGAAAAGTACAGAAGAGAGACACTCAGTTCAAGTCAACTCAAATAAGAGTCCAGAAAGAAAGAAATCACCAAAAAATTCATTCATAAATACTTCCCAGAACTTCAGAATTCAATTTGCCAGGCTGAAAGGCCAAATCATGACAAGTCATCATGACATTTCAGAACTGTGGGAACAAAGAGAAAATCTTCCAATTTCCAGAGGGGTAGAAAAAAGTAAGGAAAAAAAAAAAGACATGCAAAGACTCCATAATCAGAATGACTTCATACTATGCAAGATAACAGAAGCTAGAAGACAATGGAGTAAAAAAATTCAAAGGAAAATTATTTATTTGTTTATTTTACTTTTTTATTGAACTTACTAGGGTGACATTGGTTAATAAAACTATATAGGATTCAGGGTACAATTCTATAATACATCACCTGCAAATGGTACTGTGTACTCACCACCCCAAATCAAGTCTCTTTCCATCACCGTTTATCTCCCTAAACTCTCTTCTGCTTCCCCGCCCTCCTCCCCTCTGGTAATCACCGTACTCTTGTCTACGTCCTCGAGTTCTGCTTTTTGTTTTGCTTAATCCCCTTCCCCTCTGGCAGCTGTCAGTCTGTTCTCTACCTATGAATCTGTTTCTGTTTTGTTTGTTCATTAGATTCCACACGAGTGAACTTGTCTTTTTCTTGAAAGGCTTATTTCACTTAGCATAATGCTCTCCAGGTCCATCCATGCCATCACAAAGGGTAAGAGTTCCTTCTTTTTTCATGGCTGAGTAGTATTCCATGGTGTGAATGTGCCACAGCTTTTCTATCCACTCATCTACTGATGGGCACTTGGGCTGCTTCCAAATCTTGGCTATTGTAAATAATGCTGCAATGAACATAGAGGTGCTTGTATTCTTTAAAATTAGTATTTCAGGTTTCTTTGGATATATTCCCAGAAATGGAATTGCTGGGTCATGAGGCAGTTTAACTTTTTGAGGTAACTCCATATTGCTTTCCACAGTGGCTGCACCAGACTGTATTCCCACCAACAGTGCATGAGGGTTCCCTTTTCTCCACATCCTCGCCAGCACCTGCCGTTTGTTGATGGCAGCCATTCTGACAGGTGTGAAGTGATACTTCAGTGCGGTTTTAATTTGCATCTTTCTGATTAGTGACATTGAGCACCTTTTCATGTCTATTGGCCATCTGCATGTCCTCTTTGGAGAAGTGTCTATTCAGGGCCTTTGTCTACTTTTAATTGGATTTTTTTTTGGTACTGAGTTTTATAAGTTCTTTATAAATTTTTGATATTAAGACCTTAGATGTATCATTGGCAAATATGTTCTCTGATTCTGTGGATTGTCTTTTCAGTTTGTTGGTGGTTTCTTTTGCCATGCAAAAACTTTTTAGTTTGATGTTGTCCCATTTTAATTTTTTCTTTAGTTTCCCTTGCTCGAGGACATATAACAGAAAAAAACATCACTATGAGAAATGTCCAAGATTTTACTGCCTATGTTTTTCTTCCAGGATTTTAACATTTAAGTTTTCAATCCATTTTGAGATTATTCCTGTGTATGGTGTAAGAACGTGATATAGTTTCATTTTTTGCACGTATCTGTCCAATTTTCCCAACACCATTTATTGAATAGATGATCTTTACCTCAATGTATGTTTCTGCCTCCAAAGAAAAATCATGTGTAACCTAGAATTTTATACCCAAACTACCAAAAAATGTGAAAGTAGAAAAAATAAGTCATTTCCAGACATCAATGTTTCAAAACATTTACTCTCAATACCCTTTCTTGTAATGCTTCTGGAGAATATATTCCAACGAAAAGAAGAAAGCAAAACAGGAAGACATGACGTAGAAAAAACAGAAAAGTCCATTCAAGGGAAACAAAGGGAATCTCAGACAGTATAAAGGGAAACTGGTCCTGGTGTATCAGGTCAGAAAGTTCAAGAAAATACAATGAATAAAATATTTGATGCAAATAAATATCTTGAGGTGAAAAGATTTAGGGTTGAGTTAAAGGTAAGTATATATAGTAAGTAGTATATATAAAATGAATTAATGCTAAGAACATATTTAAAAAGATAATTATTAAACTACAGGGAATGAAGTAAATTATGCAGGAAAATAAGTTAGGTGCAACTGAACAAAAGTTTAGTTGAAAATGTATCATAAACCACCTCTTCTCCAGACAGGTCCCTGTGTACTGGGAAAGGTACAGACAGGAAGCTGGATGTTTGCATAAATGTGGGACATAGAAGCTTTTTGGACAATAGTCACTTAATGATACAATTCTAACAAAAATGAAGCACTAAAAATAAACATTAAAAAATTTTTTTTTGAATAATAGATGAGTTTAAAGATTAAAGATGGCGGTGGACTGAGTGGAGGCTACACTGACACTCTCCGGGACCAAACTGGAATTACAACTAAAATATAGAAAAACCATCCTGAACAATCAACTGAAGACAAGCTGGAGAGAACCCTCATAACCAAGGGGGAAAAGTGGAGACTGCACAGAGACTGGTACAAAGTGCAGAGGCACAAGAGGGCTTGCAGGGATCCCATAGGCAGCAGCTCAAGGTCCGGAGGGATATCTCAGCTGTAGGGGGTTTCAACTGAGAACTCTGGGCCTAAACCCCAGGCTAGGCTCCCCAGCCAAGAACTAAGAAACTAAGAACTAAGAAAGGTGCCCACATAACACCAGGCTGTGAAAAGCAGCAGTGTTACAGTCTGCCAGGGAGAGATAGCTGGAAATGCAGGCCCCCTCTTAAAGAGCCAATGCACCAAGGTTTCCTGTGCAGCCACTCGCCTTGGGCTCCAGCAGAGGGAGGGCAAAGTGGACTAGAGCTCTGTGGGGAGAATCTAGCGTTGTGGGCTTTGGAGAGAGAGCTCAGATGGCAACCCTCTGGATTCCTGTGCCGAGTCATTCCCAAGATTGCAGAGGACATCTCTCTCAGGCACACAATTTTTGGCTTTTGCCTGGGGGGTAAGCAATAACCCCTCCCTGCTGGAAAACCTCTTGCCCTACCCTCTCGAGTTTCTACAGCCTGAGGCTCATTAAGAGAATCAGGTTAATCAGTCTGAAGACACAGGCAGACCTCAGAGTGCTTTGAGTCTGCCTGATCTGTTTCTGGACCCGGGCCTTGGAAAAGCAGACTTTGGTGTGCATCTTGGTCCTCTCCAACCTCACCCAGCACCAGCAGAGGAGACCTCAAGCTGTGGGTTGTTGATAGCTCCAAATAGGCTACTCAAGGCAAGTCACAAACTGGGTCTGACATTGACCGGCACCAGAGATCCTCTAAGAAGACTGAGAGTCCTAGCAGATCTACCTAATATTTAGAAACAAACCCAAACAGGCAGCCGAAATGGAGAGACAAAAAAACAAGCCCCAAATGAAAGAGCAAGAGAAGTCTCTAGAAAAAGAGCTAAATAGAGATAAGGAATCTATCAGATATAGAGTTCAGAATACTGATTGTAAGGTTGCTCAACAGCATGAAAAAAGATATGGAAACTATGAAGGAAATGAAGAATGTCATAGCAGAAATAAAGAATACATTGGAAGGAATAAACAGCAGATTAGAGAAAGCTGAGGATCAGACCAGCGAATTAGAAGGGTAGAAAAAATCAGTCAGAGATCCAAAATGAAAGAAACAATAAAAAAAACAGGAGGGCAGTCTAAAGGAGCTGTGGGACAACATGAAATGTAATAATATTGACATCATAGGAGTGCCCAAGGAGGTTGAAAGTAAGCAAGGGTTAGAGAACCTGTTTGAAGGAATAATGGCAGAAAATTTCCCTAACCTGGTCAAGAAAAAAGTCACACAAGTTCAGGAGGAAGAGAGAGTCCCAAGCAAGAAGAATCCAAAGAGGCCCACACCCAGACACATCATAATTAAAATGCCAAGAATTCAAGACAAAGAACCTTAAAGGCAGCAAGAGAAAAGCAAGCTGTTACCTACAAAAGAGCTTCCATAAGGCTGTCAGCTGATTTCTCATCAGAAACTCTACAGGCCAGAAGGGAATGGCATGAAGTATTCAAGGTAATGCAAAACAAGGATCTGAAACCAAGACTACTCTATCCAGCAAGATTATCATTCAAGATAGATGGTGAAATAAAGAACTTCCCAGGCAAAGAAAAAGGCTAAAGGAGTTTATCACTACCAAGCCAGCACTGCAGGAAATGTTAAAGGGATTGCTGTAATTATAAGTGGAAACAGAGAGAGAGAGAGAGGGAGAAACATAGGCATAAAGAATAAAATGGCAGTAGATAAGTACCTATCAATAATAACTTTAAATGTAAATGGATTAAATGCTCCAATCAAAAGACACAGGGTGGCAAATGGATAAGAAAACATGACCCAAATACATGCTGTCTACAAGAGACCCACCTCAGAACAA